AGCGTAGAAATAACACTACCAGATTGCAGAATTTACACACATAAAAAGAATTCAACAACAAAAAGATTAAAAAGATCGAATAGCTTACCGATTTAATTGTCCGGCATAGAGACGTAGTTAAACATACATCTCGGATGTAACAACGACACCGTGGTAATATTAGCAATATTACAGTGGAACTCTGTCGCAACTACGAATTCATAGCCGCTAATGTAAGCTACGTTGTACGCGAATTACTCCGTGTCGCCGATGTTGCCTCGGTTTACGGTGCCCGGCCCCGTTGTTTCGTTTGACAGTTCCGTTCTTAAGCGACATTGGTCTCGGGACGTAACTCGAGGGGAAATGAAGCGTAGGATCGCGGCTCTGGACCAGAGCATCCAGAAAGAAAGTCGAGGCTGAGAGCACAATCTGGCGAACCTATCGAGCGTGACGGAGCGGCGAGGATCGTGATCGATAATCGTGTGTCGTCCGGCCCCGAAGAAACCCGGGCGACGTTTCCTGCGCTCTATTTTTTCCCCCCCTCCGTCCCATTCCGCAACGAACTCCATTAGAGACCGGGATTGGCTAATGCGCGCTCGAGCGAGGAACTCGCGACGCTTTTTGCCGGGTCGGACCGCTTGAATAATTGTGTTTTGCAACGTCTGCACCGTCGGGAAGTTCCGGGCACGGGTCCAAAGAAGAATTAAGCAGAGGGAAACTTTTAAAGTGGACCTATAAAAGGGGCGACCCGGCGCACGCTGATCGTTCAGTTTTCGGACGATCGTTAGTCCCGCGTCGATCCGATCGATTTTTGTTCACCCCCGCCGAAATTCCTCCGTGTCCCCGTGTCTCTCCGATCGGCCGTGGGCACCGCGGACTCCGCCGTCGACTAGTGAAATGGCGTTTAAAGTGAGTGTACATCACGCGATTGACCATTCCTCATTTTTCTCCGGGACCGGTGACACGTGGGACCCGGTGTTCCCGAGCGGCCGGATCGATCAATCGTTTCGTGCCATTTAATTATCGGCCGGCGCGCCCGCTCGCGAAATCGTTCTGTCCCGTTCCAACGGAGCCTCCATCGATTCTCCGCAACGTCGGTTAATCACAATCACTTCGCCGAATTACGTTTCTACTTCTCCGGGGAAATTTTTCGAAAAATTCCGCCGCCCACGAAAACGTTCCCCTAAGGCGGTGAAATCGAACCGGCCGCGCCGGAGTAGCGCGATAAAGAAACTGTTTCTGCGCGCCATTAATACCGGAGCACGCCGAGGATATATTACCTACGATTCATCTGTTTTACACATCGATTCGCGGCGCGCTCGGTCCAGCGGAGAACTAACAAAAGCGCTGCCGATCTTTCTTAACGCTAAACCTACCGCGGTCGAAATGACCGATTTTTTATTTTACGATACTACAAACTTTCGTGACTTATTATTTTCCATCCTCAATATGTTAAAGAATCCTTGTTTAATCATTTATATGCTTAATTAAATCAGAGAATTGCAAAGACACTGAGTAAATTCCGACCAGAGCGACTAGCCTCGACTAACCTCGTTTTTGTAATGAAAACGAGCCGCAAGGCTCGAATAATCGTATCTCCTCTTCCACAAATTGTCCATTTTTGTGCGCAATCTGAGCGCGAATTAGGGAGAAATTACTCTACGTGGTAGGTACTAAGTACGTGACCGTCGAATCGTGTTATGTAGTCTTCGAATTGCCTTCGAATCGTATTATGTGGTCTTTGAATTGCCTTCGAATCGTGTCATGTAGTCATCGAATTGCCTGCGAATCATGTCATATGATCTTCGAATCGTGTCACGTGGTCTCCAAATTGCCTTCGAATCGTGTCATATGGTCTTCGAATCGCCTTCGAATCGTGTCATATGGCCTTCGAATCGCCTACGAATCGTGTCACGTGGTCTCCGAATTCCCTTTGAATCGTGTCATATGGTCTTCGAATCCTCTTCGAATCATGTCATATGGTCTTCGAATCGTGTCATACGGTCTTCGAATTGCCTTCGAATCGTGTCATATGGTCTTTGAATCGCCTTCGAATAGTGGCATGTGGCCTCCAAATTGCCTTCGAATAGTGTCACGTGGCCTCTGAATTGCCTTCGAATCGTAGCATATGGCGTCCTAATTGCCTTCGAATAGTGTCACGTGGCCTCTGAATTGCCTTCGAATCGTGGCATATGGCGTCCTAATTGCCTTCGAATAGTGTCACGTGGCCTCTGAATTGCCTTCGAATCGTAGCATATGGCGTCCTAATTGCCTTCGAATAGTGTCACGTGGCCTCTGAATTGCCTTCGAATCGTGTCACGTGGTCTTCGAATCGCCTTCGGATCGTGTCACGTGGTCTCCGAATCGCTTTCGAATCGCGTTATGTGGTCTTCGAATCGCGAATAGTTTCGGCGAACGGAAAGTGAAACGGAAGTGCGCTAAATTCAAGCTTGCATTTTAACCGGGGAGAGCATCGATGACCAATATCTGTTTCACTGGCAATCGATAACCGCGGTTCGGCCCCGGCAATTGCGCTATAAGCCACCGGTCGAGCAGTGTTTCTTTCACCCATTTTCCCCGGGGATGATCACCGGGTGGGATGCTCTCGAACTTCTAACGAGGGAAACACCAAACATTCCTCATATTTGACTCCGGAACGGGACGTTGCCGCAAAACACCTTCAGAGTTAACTCTCTATCCAAATACTCTGTCCCGGCTTAAATTCCGCACTCCATCGCGGTGCAAACAACTAATGAACTATTTCTCGCAGTTCATCCTGCCGATTCTGGCTTTGTCGGTTTTGCGGGCCGGCCTGGCCGATGCCGGACACGCGCATTCTTTCCAACACTTTTACGGGCCGGTGTTGGGCGACGCTGAAGAGATCACTTGGACGGATAAACACGGCAACCATCATCACAACTATGTCGCGCATCCTCACTACGAGTACTCGTACGGCGTGGACGACCATCATACCGGCGATTTTCACGGCCAGAAGGAGCACAGGGACGGTAAGCTTGACGCGCAGACAGAACTAACGCGTTTAGTGTCGATTGGAAGCGTTGTACTTAAGCGGGAAAAGTGAGTCAAGTTGATGTGACTTGGTAAGATTTGGGGTAAATGTTATGAAAATTTTATAGAAAATATTAACTCCGAAATGCATAAAAGAGCGCACCGAGAAATACAAGTTTTATTTATTAAAAATGTTGAGAAAATAAACTTGCCTCAAATGTAGCCAGGAATGATACATTGTTGTTCGGTTCCACAGGATGTCCCGTAATTGTGTTAAGAGGTGATTCCTCAGGTCATTTGAAGCAACTTTTTCCTTTACAAAAATTTTCTCCGAGGCCCGGTTAACGAGTTATTAACGAAAAACGCTGGCCAATGAGAGGCAAGCTCGAGTAGGTGCGAGGCGGCCGAGCCAATCAGCGGAACTGAGGCTTCGACCGCTCATTGGCTCGGCCGCCTCGCGCCAACTGATTCTCGCCTCTCACTGGTCAGTGTTTTTCGTTAATAACTCGTAAACGAAGCCGCGGATTGAATTTTCGCTAAGGAAAAAGTTGTTTCAAATGACCTCAGGAATCAGCCCTTTCTAGGTATTAACATAATTGTGGGACACCCTGTATAAGAATTGACACTAAATCTACCGAGTGATAAAAGTGATTGACTTACGTTGCTGAATAAGAATTACAAAACCGTATTTATTGAGACCATCCGCAATTTTTGCACAGTGTGTGTTTGAATTGAAAAGTTTACTCAATCGTTTTCGGCCAGTGAATCATCATAACATCCATAAGTTTAAAATGAAAAATGTGAAACTGGTCATTTTCATCATGGTAGATTTACTGTTAATTTTCCTTTCTGAAGAAATCGCCGAAGTAAACGAAGGTAAAAATGAAGCAACGTGATTTCCGTTTACGAAAGTATACTGTTAATGCTCCTTGTTCAAGTTTTAAAAGTCTTTCGCATCTTTATTTTCTATGATTATGGCCGGCACTTCAAGATCGAAATGATTGAATCGTGCCACGTTTGTTGCACAGCGATCGAAACGATGTTCTGAATGATGAAGTACAACTCGACGGATTTTTCCAAGTCCCGACATTCTTCCACGCTGTCTACAAAATTGCTTTAATTGGGATCAGGACATGTCCTATGTTAATGATGCTCGGATGTCAAACAGTTGAGAAGCTAGTTTGCCGGGAGTAGGTACTTTGATTAGGATTAATCAGTTGACTGAGTCCGTAGGGAATGTAGTTGCTGTAGACCCAATCTACCAGTGCCTAAATATATGTACATACACTTCCAAGAACTTTTCGCTATTCGAGATAGGAATCGTATAAACTGTGGCGATACATTAATTGCTCTTGTTGCAGTAAGAAATTGTTGCTCGCTGTTGTTCATCGAACTGCGAAAACGGTTTTCACAGCTTCGCAACAATTCGCGTATTGGCAAACAAATTCGAAAGATTCAAAATTCGTACGAAATTTGACTTTTTTCTACGGTCGTTTCAACGAATGTATTTATATGCCATACTGCATTATACTATAGTATATACTATATATTCTATTGTATATCGTAATACAATATATATACTACTATATGTAGTAGTTCAATATATACATATTACTATATATAGTAGTACAATATATATACTACTATACATAATAGTACAATATATATATATATATATATACTACTATACATAATAGTACAATATATATACTACTACACATAATAGTACGATATATATACTACTATACATAGTAGTACAATTATATACTACTATACATATAGTAATACAATATATATACTACTATACATATAGTAGTACAATATATATACTACTATAAATACTGTATATATTATATATACTATACTTTTCTCCATTCATACATGTTTCAAAATTTGCATTCGCCACACATTTGCAATAATTCTCATTCTAATCAAAATTTCCACTTAAAGTTACCATTCACATTTCCTATAAACCGCAAGAAAAGCAGAAAGAAAAATAACGAAATCGAAAATAGTTTTTCTATTGCCTGTAGCATTCTTGGTGTTTCCGCCTACGGTGAAATCACCGTTTCCATGTCGCATTTAGGAGCAAACCCAGCCAAAATGGCGGTAGTTTCTCTCCCCTTCCCGAGGCTGTCCGTGGTTGTCTCCGCCGACATTCATCGTTCACGAGTCTCTTGTCAAATTAGTTTAAGTTCCCTAACGGACTTAAGAAGGTCGTAACGTTATGGGGGAGAAGTAATTACGGGTCGCGGATCACGGTTTTCGCAGGGGCTTCCTGATTTAACCGCGTCTGATTGCGGCGCCATTGAAGAGCTAATATCAAAGCCGACTGCCCTGTTAGAAGCTCTTCCTGGAGCACGGCACGTAATGCGCACGCCGCGAAGAAACGCACCCGGTTCCGCTAATTATTCCTCGAGCCGGAATCCCGAGCCGTTCGAAACAATTTGGAATACCGTGTCGCAGTTGACGAATCCGTTCCGCTTTGCCATGTTAATCCGCTAACTAGCAGTGCGTCGACTGCGAAAGCCATTCGGTTCGGAGACATTTCGCGAAATTTCTAACTGTACCGATCGATGATTTACAGAAATTCTGACGAAAAATATTAACACTTTATCGTCCGGTCGTGGTTGAGGCTGCCACTCAGTAAGGACTGGCTTAGTCGCGCGCGCATTTGCTCCCAGTACCGGTTAAATTTTCGCTATTCATTGTGTTGTGCTTATTCCTTTAAAAATAATAATAAATAATAATAATTATTATAATTATAATTCATAAGGATATGGGGAGGTCAGCATACAGGAGGTCAGCTACTAACAAAACAGTAAAGAAGCGAAAACCGTCGATAGCTAAAAGTCGATTAATAGGCTATCGGTCGATAAGCATTGGCAATCGAAAAGCCGATTAATAGGCTAGCGATCGATAAACATTGGCAATCGAAAAGCCGATAAATAGGCTAGCGGTCGATAAAGTGTTAATATACTTTCGAACATTCCGACTGGTCGCAGACGTTCGTGGAGCCATTGTTGTTAACACTAGATTTAACCCTTTGCACTCGGAGCCATTTTAACTGTAAATCTAAAATCATTTCTCTGACTTGTTGTACTTTCATTTTACAAGACGAAGTGCACTTTACGCGTACGAAATTGAATCTCGTGATTCATGCAACGGTTACACTTTCAATAATGTTTAAAATCTAAACTTTGATAATATCAAAATTATCTTAGAACGTGACGTAACAATTTTAGTGGTGCCTCGGAGTGCACCACTCGAGAGTGCAAAGGGTTAATATAATATTTAATTTAACATAATATTTTAACCCGGCAAAATGACGGGTCACCAGTTGTTTAATTTACGATTATCCATATCGTAAAGATACATTTACGAGTTATTTGTTCAATTTATACGTTACTTACGGCAAATGTTACAACGTTAACTGTTAAAAACCAGAATCAATGTCTTATTGTTACATTTTATATACTAGTATGAAACAGCTCTTCTTTGTGCTTAGCGTTCGCGACGCGAGTTTTATTATTTATTGTTATTATTATTAATTATTCACCTTCCGCAACGCTGTTGCGAGACCGCGGCGTTGAGACACGCACACCGCGACTGTCCAAATAACAATTGCATGGTTTTCATAATACCAGAGTATAGCGTGTAATATCCGCGCGGCTGTGCGAACTTGTAGCCATTTATAATCACGGAGGATATTTATGTAAACCCTGTATATCGCGAACGATTACGATCGTTCTATAGTTTCGGAAATACGGTCTGGTCGTTCGGCCAGCGGACAATACCCGGTCGGTAATTAAGTTCTCATTCTGGTTTCGCGGGGATCGTGATGTCATCCGAGCCATTTATTCTGCGCAGGCAAAGAAGTCATCGGCGAGTACACGGTGAAAGAACCCGGCGGCAACGTCAGAACCGTGAAGTATCACGCTGGAAAAGACGGATTTTTCGCTCACGTCCATAACAGCAACGGGATCGTCCACGAAGGAGGCCACCATCATTAAAAAAAAAAACAACCGCCGCGATGCTTTATTCATAACCAAAGATGTCTTGTTATGCACCTGTTGTTCTTGTTACGCGACGCTGATTGTTCTTGTTTTTGTTCTACTGATTAAAGAACTGTTTTAGTATTCAATACCGTCTTACGGTTTCTTGATTTTTTTATGCAGAGCCAATGCTCATTTCTTGATCCTCATGAAATATGGATGTCTTACCTCCGGATAGCGACGCGAACCCTTATCGCGGCCCTCGGAAACCACGGTCAAATGTCTACGACGGTTTAAGATCGTTCCGACCGATTCGCGCGTTCACTAAATGCCGATCTGATGCCATTATCGATTGCCGCGCCAGCTTTAACGTAATTAATACAAATTAATAAATACCGCGCAGATTAAATCCCTCATCGATCATATGCGCTATGAGGTTACTGTCACGACCGACGGGATACAGTAATTTCTTCCGAATTTGTGCACAGGTCGCGCACAAAAGTGGACAATTTGAGAAGAGGAGATACGATTATTGAAGCATTATGACTCGATTTTTATAGTTGTTGACGATCGGTGACTATAAAAACTCGAATATCGTAGCCTCTTTTCTCGAATTGTGGCATGTTGCCTCCGAATTGCCTTCGAATCGTATCACGTGGTCTCCGAATTGCCTTCGAATCGTGTCATATGGCCTCCGAATTGCCTTCGAATCGTGTCATGTGGTCTTCGAATTGCCACGCGAACAAACTGAGGGACAATTAGAAAGAATTTACTCTATTTAGAAAACGCATCGGGAAATAATAATTTAATTAGAAATTGTTACAGTGTAATTTCTCCCGGAAATGCCAAATTTCGGGTTGCTGTGAATTTCCCTGGTCTAATCCTACACCTATGTAATTTATTACTACATCGATGTTATGATTACCGATTGTCAACGACTATAAAAACGAGCCGCGAGGCTCGAATAATCGTATCCCCTCTTCGCAAATTTACAAACTGAGGGACAATCAGAGAGAATTTACTGTATTTAGAAAACGCATCGGGAGATAATAATTTAATTAGAAATGGTTACAGCAATTTCTCCCGAAAATGCCAAATTTCGGGTTGCTGTGAATTTCCCTGGTCTAATCCTACGCATATGTAATTTATAGCTACGTCGATGTTATGGTCATCGATTATCAATAACTATAAAAACGAGCCGCGAGGCTCGAATAATCGTATCCCCTCTTCCCAAATTGTCCATTTCTGTTTACAAATTGTGGGACAATTAGAGAGAATTTACTGTATTTAGAAAACGCATCCGGAAACAATAACTCAATTAGAAATTATTACAGCAATTTCTCCCAGAAATGCCAAATTTCGGGTTGCTGTGAATTTCCCTGGTCTAACCCTACTCCTATGTAATTTATTGCTACGTCGATGTAATATGTCTTCTCCTCCCAAATCGTCCAATTTTGTGCACAATCCGAGCGCGAATCAGGGAGAAATTGCTGCGTAATAAATAATTGAAAATTGAAACTGGCAACGATTAAACCAAAGTCGAACTCAGCTTGCAAACGACATTGCCTATTCGCGTTACAAGCGTTTACACAGTCAATGAAACATTTAACCTTGCATTCGATGTTGTAATTACCATTTCGCTTCAGCTTCCGGTTGATTCTCGGTGGTGTTTGGTTGAATTACGAGCGAACGATCAACTCGGCGATCTTTTTGAAAGCGAATCGAATCCGGAGTTAGCGAATGTCTTCCCGCCGAGTCGAAGCGCGACGAATAACTTGGCCCGCGAACGAACGACAGCGGGAATTCGAACCGCGGGCGACACGCAACGGGTGAATTATTAAGCGGACGTACAAAATTATAATCGCGATGCGGCGCGGCGCACGGTTCACTCGGCGATTTATTTAGCTTATCAAAGAACGATAAATTCCGCGGATCATTGACTTCCGCGGCACGGAGGAAGCGCGACCGTTGCAACAGTTTTGCGACGTGATCCAGGGAACAACAACGCCCCGGCCGCAGATTCAATTTATTACGCCCTGTAATAATATCACAGCCGGATATTGTCCATCCCAAATTACTTGCCGCTTAGCCGCGAAGAGATTCGATCGCATAGAATTCGCGGGCCGGGCAAATTGAAAATCGATGCGCCGTCGACCGGCGTGCCCCGGCCTGTGATTTCACCGTTGTTTTTAACGAAAGTGACGTTTACAGATTGACAATCCGACCGTCAGGGGCATATGGATCTCCCCCGTGATTACGTATCCAGGCTTACCGGAAACAACGACGGAGTCCCACCCCCTCCCCCCCTCCATCCCCCGAAATAGCTTTGCTCCCGATATCGATCGGACGCGTTCCGAAATTAATGAGCCCTCCAACTTGAGCCACGATCCTCTTGCGCGAAATTCGTTTGCTTGTCTACTGCCGACAAACTGGCTACCAACGGTGGTAGAATAAATATGACCCCGAGATGATTTTTATAGTCGACATTCAGGCCAACCAGGGACATCTCGCTGTCGTTTTCGAAGCGTCAACGAAAATTTGCATGTCTGAGAATTCGCAATAGTTCATGCATCTATTATAATATAGTAACTATTATATATATTATATATATTATATATTATTATATTGTATTGTATTGCATTGTATTGTATTTGTATTGTATTTGTATTGTATTTGTATTGTATTTGTATTGTATTTCTACTGTACTTCTATTGTAATTCTATTGTAATTCTATTGTAATTCTATTGTATTTCTATTGTATTTCTATTGTATTTCTATTGTATTTCTATTATATTTCTATTATATTTGTATTGAATTAGTATTGTATTTGTATTGTATTTGTATTGTATTTGTATTGAATTAGTATTGAATTAGTATTGTATTTGAATTGAATATGTACTGTATTTGCATTGCATTTGCATTGCATTTGCATTGCATTTGCATTGCATTTGCATTGTATTTGCATTGTATTTGCATTGTATTTGCATTGTATTTGCATTGTATTTGCATTGTATTTGCATTATATTCGCATTGTATTCGTATTGTATCTGTATTGTATTTGTATTATATTCGTATTATATGTATGTATAATTATATTATATTATATAATATATATTATTATTATTATATATATATATAATATATATATAATATCATATATATATATATATATATATATATATATATATATATATATATATATTTTTTTTTTTTTTT